TCTTTCTTTCTTTCTTTCTTTCTTTCTTTCTTTCTTTCTTTCTTTCTCTCTCTCTCTCTCTCTCTCTCTCTCTCTCTCTCTCTCTCTCTCTCTCTCTCTCTCCCTCCCTCCCTCCCTCCCTCCCTCTCTCTCTCTCTCTCTCTCTCTCTTAACACAGATTGTTCCTCACACTTAAGATCCCCCACCTGCAGTGAAAAGTGGTACAGCTCAGCAAGATCCGCACCACATCCTCCAAGGCTGAAAAGAACAATGGAATGCTGGCACATTACAGAGGCCATGCGGTGGGTTTGTTCTGCTCTAGATCAAGGGACTTTGGACTTTTTTAAAAACAACAACCTTCTGTGCATTTTTAGCTCTAGTCCACTCATACAATGATTTGCCCAAAAGGTATTTTTTGTATCTGTGCCCCATGACAAGAACAGAATCCTAGAAAACAGTACATTGAGGAAAAAGAATAAAAGGAAGCTTCATATTGCTGATAGGCTTCTGCTCCCAAAGGTGTCAAGATAAAACAGCACCTGAAAATATTGATTTTGTATGCGTGTGTAATAATTTCTAAAGACTCACAGCTATTAGCATCACAGCAAAAAACAGACAAAACAATAAAATATCCACAGTAAATAAGTGTGTGTGTGTGTGTGTGTGTGTGTGTGTGTGTGTATGCAGGTCTTGGCGTGTTCGGGTCTTCTCCTGTGTAAGATTGAGAGCATCTTGGCAACATTTTGATGAGGTCCCACTCGCCATCTTCAGGCTGGTGCTTTCGGCTTCGTGTTTGGGCAAGCAAAGCGTGATCGGAGCTACATATACTGGTGGGGAGTATATATAGGGAGATGGCAGCTCTGATCACGCTTTGCTCGCCCAAGCACGAAGCCGAAAGCACCAGCCTGAAGATGGCGAGTGGGACCCCGTCAAAACATTGCCAAGATGCTCTCAATCTTAAACAGGAAAAGACCCAAACACGCCAAGACCTGCATACCTGTACCCGTGAAAATCTACGAAAACAAATACACACACACACACATAGAGAGAGGGAGAGAGAAAGAGAAAATGAGGAAAGAAACAGTAATCAAGTCATAAACAACAGTCTAGAAAAACTCTACTTTCATTAATTTATGGAAAGCTACCACACATAGAATTAATCTAGAATAATACAGACTACTTGCACAGTTACTAAGAAGTGTCTCCTGGGCTTCACCTCACAAATACAGGATGCTATCAACATATTTCCCCTAGGACAGATGTATTAGATAGGTCAATTCTAGTTGGAGAAAATGGTTTTGCAAGATACCAAATTGGCAAACTATTAAAATATTTTACAATATAGTAGGTTAAAACCAACAGTTTGTCCTACAGGTATAATATACTCATGGCAAAAAAAAAAATTGCCGACAGCAAATGGACCTCAGTGTTTCAAACTAATTGCAGTTACTGAGTGGTCCACAAAAGCAATCCATGTGGGTCACATTGGCGTACTCCAAACAACCACTAATGAGGGCCTGAGTCTCCATTATGGCCACACTCTAGTTAAGGTTACGATTGGCATACTAAATGAAGCTAGACAAAGGCCCTCCTAACCACAGCTAACTACATCTGCCCATCTCCAGCAGCAGCCATGAGTCCAGGAGGATTCCATGTTACAGATCATCTCCTTCAAGCATAGTGCTCCCCCCACCCCCCACCCCCAAGGAAAACACTGGAACCAACAGAGAACCTCAGTGAACAAACAGCAACTTCACAAGTGAATTCATCTTTAACCTTCTGTTTTATTCTAGGCAGAACCCCAATACCTCCAGACATCAGGACAAGACTTCAGTGGCATTTCAGGGTGGTAATGCACAATTAAGTACCAGCTGCATATTAATATCTCATCCCTGATTACCTTTTCCAGCAGCTTTATCTAGAAGCTAAAAGTCAGACTGGAGAATACTAAATCTTGTGCCACCCCATGATTATTGACCCAAACTGTTCTCTTAATGTCAACCAACTGGAACTGAGGAAGAAACAGTACCATTACAAACAGTGCTTCTAGTCCCCATAATGAAGGTTCCTAAAGGCCACAGAAAAGTCTAAAGGATGCACAACTTCTGTGCAAATCTCAATAAAATCATCAGTTTGAGCGGCCAACTCCATCTCTGTCCTATGCTCAAAACTTAACTTTAACTGAAATACATTCAAATAACCTGCTTCTTCTAGACGGCTCTTCAACAAATCCTTGATAAACTTCTTCCCAGTGAGCTGGACTAGAACAGATAAACAAGCACCCAAAAGTACGAGAACATGAGACTTACTATGGAAAGACCAAGAAGCCATTACAACAGAATTCCAGCAATTGCTGGGTGTTTAATGCAATTTCTACTTGCAGTCCAATCAATATTTAAATTCTTCCATCTCTCCCCCACCTGCTCAGTGTACATGCCTGCAAGTGGCTCTCTTTTGGGTGGAGTGGGAAGTTTCCATTTGATCCATGTTTTGGTAGCAGCCAAATGTGGCATCAACTTGTTTGTTTTTAATTGTGTGAGAACTGTTCCCACCCACCCACCCACCCAAAAAACGTTCCCTAAAAGGAGGTGTCGAATAGCTGTCAAAAATAACCAGATGCTCCACCAAAGAGAAGCTCTACCAAAGCCTCCTTCAAGACTGCTGGCATTGTCATCTTCCAAATCCCACCAGTTGTGCCCACACCAATATCTTGCAAGGCAAGTAAGGGCAATGAGTATAGCCATGGTGTATCCAGAGACTACATCATCAGAGTCAACAGGCCAAGAGGATAATATGGTAAGCTGTTAATGGACATCACCCATAAAGAGTCAAAACTTCAGCAACTCTGAGTAAATATATCAGAAAATGCTGTGTGGAACAGTTGCAATGGCTAGGAGGGAACTACACCTTCTCATGGTCGCCAAAACAGACCTAGACATACTAAATGAAGCTGCTAATCAACAGCCCACCAATGCCAATTTGGTTCTAGTGCAGGGGTGTCAAATTCGATTTCATTGAGGGCCACATCAGGGGGGCCAGGGGAGGCATGGCCAGGGTGGGCGTGGCCGGCATGGCCAGAGTTGTCATGGCCGGCTCGATGTCACTCATGTTGGGGGTGCCTGTGAGGGCCTAAGTGATCTGTCAGCAAAAATGGGCTCCCAAGCACCATTTTCAGCTGCAACAACCTCCTGCAACCCTCTGCCAGCGAAAATGGAGCTCACGAGGGCCACATGCATCCCTCCAAAGCTCCATTCTCCCTGACAAAGGCACTGTGGGCCGGTCCTTTGCTGTTTCCAGGCTGGCCCCATAGGCCAGATCTAAGCACCCCGTGGATCGAATCTGGGCCCCAGGCCTTGAGTTTGATACCTCTGGTCTAGTGATAAAGGCATCCAGCTAAAAAAACAGAAACTGTGAGTTTTAGACCCCTCCATTAGCCATGAAAGACAGCTGGGTGCCTTAGGCAAGTCATTCACGCACTCCCCTTAACTCAGCTTTTTCCTCACAGGGTTGTACTTGTGAGAAAATAGGAAGAGGAAAGTGCACACATTCACCACCTTGAACTATTTGTAAAAATAATAAAGGTGGGATATAAACAGGCAAATATGCAACAATGGGGAACTGCACTTTTTTACCGCCATGATAAAGGTTTGAGTTTGAGCTCCCGCCGATACTCAGGTTGAGTCCTTGTTTTCTCCATCAACGCTCCAAGTGTCACATTTTCTGCTTTCTCTCTCCCAGAGATCCTCAATAATCTAAGATGTACTCTAGGAGTAGTGAATGCAATCTTGTCAAGAGCCTGTATCACCTTCTGATGCCAGAGGTCAACCGGGCAATAAATGAAACTGCACCTATCAGGTGCAGAGAAATTTCTCAAGTACCTCCCAGAAACCCGCCTTGAACAGACCATTCTAATAAGTTACATAGTCCGCAGAAGTCCTCAGTGGCAGGACATCTCAAATGGGCCAGGAAACGATCTGATCACAACAAAGAGATAGATGTGCCCTACACATCTGGATCGCAGCCCTACCATTGTGAAGAAAATTAATGTTCAATATAGGCCAATCTGCAGACATAGGAACATAGATGGTTTGGGACAAGCCTGTGGTTGCCAGTTGCCATGGAGGCCATCAATCCTCTAGTTCTTCCAAACCTAACCCTCAGGGCATGGAGAGGGATGTCAACCAGCACCCAAAAAGTAAGAAAACTCCAAGCTTACAAGGGAACAGAGACTACTTTCCCTTCCCAACTGCATCCTAAGTGACCTTTCAGATGACACATAGGCTGACTCTCCACTGAAGAACAATTCCTCACCCACAGCTTGGCTCAGTTCACTGGTGACTCAGCATCTCCAGTTTCGGTGGCCTATACAATAATAAACAGGCTGAAGCCAGATATGAGAATAGAAGCATTTATTTTTACTACAAAATGGAAAGTAGTAAGTGAGTCTCCATCTAGACTGCAAAGTCTTAACTACATTTCAGGCACTCAAGACTGGGCAATTATAGTACTGTACAGATAACAGTTGAATTCTGCATCATGCATGTAGATCAAACATTGATAAAACTCTCACAACGGCAGAGCTGTAGCCAACAGAGGAGCATGTGAACTGCCCTCCATGGGGGAAAAGGACATTCTAGATGCAGAAAGAGATACAGAGCAATTCACACACCCATTTCCTGAGTCTGCTCTGATCCCGATAAGAGCATCTGTATCGCGCTTCTCAAACACAGTTGTCTTTAAGGCTCCTTGGTGTATAGATCAAGTGCAAAATAGATATCTCCAATCAAATGATGGGCAGCAAGGTAGTTTTGCAATCTCTCAAGATCTCATTGGCCAACCCAGAGAGGAATGTCTGTCCTTCCCTGAAGGTAGCAAACACAAACCAACACTCATCACCAAAGGAGGAAGGAGAGGAAAAGGATAGCCATAGCAGGGTGGAAGACCATCTTCTCTAACAGCTGTGGAGAGGGAGAAGGGGGTTTCTTCATTTCCAGTCCAGTGCTGAGACTGTATCAGAAAGTGGCAAAGGTAGACAGGACTGTACAGCCCTTGCTGTTCCAAGAGTCTATGCCGCCCAAGGAGATTTTTGGTTCAACTGAGAACGACGGTATCTGTGCAGGTATTAGAGACTAAGACTAAGGGTTCAAACCCCAATTCTTACACGAATCACGCTGTGTTTCCTTGGGCCAGTCATTCTTCCTGCACCTAGCTCACCAGACTGCATTGTGAGGAAAGGCAGAGAGCCATGCATGCAATCTTACATTCCTTGGAAGGAGGCTAGTTTACAGATGTCATAAAGAGAACCCAAACAAATGGCTAACAATGCCATCTTTTCCTGTAATGCTTATCCAGGATGGAAAACTCTGACAGTTCATAAAAACAAAGGCCAGCCTGAGAAAGCCAGAAGATCTTCCATGAGTAGAATATGCCAGCTGTATATGAGTACATGCTGTTTCTTTACTTAGGAATTAATTCCCACTTCAGTGGAAATGGCTTCCTTGTTCCAGAACATTTCTTTAAAGTGGGGAAACTAATCCTCCTTTCCAATGGTAAGGCTGGATCCTAAAGTTTCTTTCCACAGAGGACAGGAAGCGAGGCATGGAATTCAAAGTGTGGGTCCATCAAACAAAAGTCTCCTGCTTATTTCTAGTTCCTAACTAAGCAATTCTCCAGCACGGATTCAATCCTTACATTCCAGGAGTTGTGGGGACTTCCTATTTTCAAGTTACACTCAACAGCCAGAAGGAAACAGACAGAAAAGTTGCCCTCCCTACATAACATCTGCACTGCATACAATCAACAGGAGGGGTCGAGTCAGAAGAGCAAGGCGGGAGGATCGGCCTACAAATCCTAGGAGAGCACATTCAGAGCGGTAGCCGATCGCTGGTGGTGCCAGTCACGCAGGTGAGTGTAACGGGGGCTCCGGAGATCCAGGACAAACTTTTCTCTAGAAAAAGAAAATGAAAGGGAAGGCAGACAGTGGAGAGGAAACAGGAATGTTGGGGGAGGGGAAAGAGGGAGAGAGAGAGAGAGACAGACAGAATGCATGCAGAAGAACTTCACCCGATGCCCAACCTGTTTCAATAGCACCCCACCTAAGAGGAAAAAATGGCTTCTCTCTCTCCCTCTCTCTCTTTCCTCCCAGCAGATGATAATGCCATGAAGCAAGGGTGTTCATACAACACCTCAAACCAGCCAAGAACAATTTAAGCCATTAGTTTAGCATCTGGTGTGCCACACGAACCCAGAAAACTGGCTTGATAAACCACGCTTAACTATGGATGTATTGTACAAACTATCCGTAGTAAGAGAGGAAAAAGGATCTCTATAAACAAGTCTGAAACCCCAAATGCATCTTGGTGGGCATCCCTAGCACTTGAGGAACTCAGGCAGAAGTCCTCTCTCGAACCCTAACAGAAATCCAAGCCCCCCCAAGATCTGGCCTTTCTTACCTGGCCGCCTTAAGATGCTCGTCATCTGGGTCTCGCACTGGCAGCAGCAGAAGGAAAGGAGAAAGAGAGAGGATCAGAGTTTGGGCCAATCAGGTTGGTAGGTGGAAAGAAAAAGCAAGAATTAATGAAGGCTAACCCCCCCCCCGCCGCCCCCCCCGAGAGAAGTGGTGCCTAGGCAGAGCAAATCAGGGTGAGAGAAGCAGGAGGAGGTGCCTTCAGAGCATTTAGCTGCATCCTCAGACAGATTGCATGAGGCCAAGGGGGCATCCCCATGAGTACGGGGGGAGGAGGAGGAGGAGGAGGAGGAGGAGGAGGAGGAGGAGGAGGAGGAGGAGGAGGAGGAGGAGGAGGAGGAGGAGGAACAACGCAAGGACCTGACTCTGACCACGGAGACCAAGTGAGAGAAGGATCAGAGCAGTCACCATATCTCAGGCACCACTGCACCTGTTTCCTGAAGCGGCAGATATGAAAAGCTTGCGATTTCCCCTAAGCCTCTAGCAGGAACTGGCTACTCAAGAGGGGCAGCAAAATAAAGCTTGCCCTTCCCCCTTACACAGTTCCCGCCAAAGTGGCACTTACTGAATTCTGTGCCTGTGAGATGGGCCAGAACGCGGAAAGAAGGAGACTGAGTAGTCCCAGTCCGTGGTCGCCAGTCCTCTGTGTCCTCAATAAGTCTCTTTTTACTGCTGTCGCTGGGGAAGAAAGCCGGCAGGCTCACCAGCCGCAGAGAGTGCCTACAAACAGACCAGGGCACTCAGCCAGAGCTGCACTGAAAACAGCAGTTGCAGGCATGCATTACACACACACACACACACACACACACACACACACACGGAGCAATGAATCAAGACCTGGCCACTCTAAAGGGCTGGATAAATAAGCTGTCCTTTGGAAGCAATAATGAGATCCTGAAGCTCACCCCATCAATCCCTTGTCTACAATGGTTCATTTTCCGTAGCTAAAGAAATAAATTGGCTAGAACTGCAGACGGCTGACAGTCCTGACCGTTGCAAACTTAGCAGATCTGGAGGGTGAAGGCTACAAAGGCTGCTTAATCTCCTTCCCCACGCCCGATTCTACTTGCTGGGCGGAAGGGAGACGGGGTGGACCAGACTCTGTGGGGGGGAATAGGAATCCATCCTATTTGCCATCCTTTTCTACCAGGGGGCTGATCATCGGGCTGGGGAGGGCTAGAGAGCTGAGATTTCACAGTTAGCATCGGTGGCAAATGAGTTCTCTAAGAGCTGTTTGGCAGTGAAGATAGGTGGGATCTGAGGAGCCCCACACATTGCAACCAGAAAGCCTTGGGCCCACCTGATGTAAAGCTGTGGCCATTTTCTCACCTCTGATCGTGTAGGATTGTACGGCTACCCAATACAAAGGGTCTGATTAGGGATAGCTGTGAAGTGATCTGTTCTAGGTCCTTTCCGCATCAATGTCTACAGCCCTTTCTGTGGCCGCTTGAAAAGCAAGCACTTTATGTTGCCCGTACAGCTCTTCTTGTGAGCTACATCTCATTTTCTTCTGTCCAGAAACATCAGCAAAGTTCAGACCTTGTTTTCTTTCCCCAAGCCAATGGAAATCCTCCTGCAGGCCAGAGCAAGGGCTTGAAAATGAATGCCAGAACAGCCAGCAGATTGTAAGGAATTCCTTCAAAAAAAAAAATCCTGAGAAGCAAAGGAAGGCTATTTGTGGGGGGGTGGGGGGGATGTGAATGTGGGGTATATGTGGGTGTGTCCTGGCAACCTCCCTCTCCAGGAAGGCTACAAAAAAAGAGTGCTTCCTACCCTGAACACCATCAAAAACCTTCTGATTGTCCGCTGTAAACACCAGAAGCCATTTGTAATGGTGAATTGCAATCTGGCTGGAGAGAGGGGGGAAGGATGCTACACGGCCTCTAGGGCCTGGCTGAGGCTCCCCACTTGACAGAGGGGGACTATAAGGACACGCTAAGCAACAGAGAAAACTGGCTTGTTAAAGAAAGCATGAACTCTTTAATCTTCACCTAAAGAGAAAAAGTACCTGGAAATGTCTGATCCCACAAACAAATCACCTTAAGAGATGAAAACTGGATTCCCCCCCCCCCCCGCTCCCCCCAGAGACTGGAACAACCAACAGTTAAACTGTAATCAGAAGTTAAATGGTAACTGCTTCATGGGGTGGGGTGCTGATTCTGAGTTAACAAAGCACTGAATTTATTAACAAACTACTCCAATGCTGTTAGATTAAGCAGTCAACGTTTGACTTTGTGCGAGGACAAGCCTTAAATCCTGAGTTTCCATGCCATACAGTGGCCTAGTTTACCAGGTGATGCTCTAATATACCCTCTTAACCTGGGTTTATTTTTATTTCTTTTTTAAAGACTTGAACTGTGATGTCTCAGAGATTGCTCCCCATAATTCTGAGAGGAACATTTGCAAGCTATGAGGCAAGGACATCTACATGCAAGACAAACATCACTGACATTGCCATCCTAGCCCAGGACCCTGTTCCCAAGTCTTACTGATCCTCCAGGTAGTAGTCTCCATAATCAGGTGGGGGGTGATTTGGGGACACAGCCTTCACCTCAGGTGAGTGAGCAGTCACCCTGAAGATGAGAGCAGCAAAGGATAAGAGAAAGCAAAGTACCAGTCAGGTAAGAAATATCATTCCCTTCCAACACAGCAAGAACATTTACACCTCCGCTGCTCATAGGGAGTAGTTAATGTCCCTAGAGATATCTGCAGCTTCACTGGGGAGGAGAGAAGCCACAAGCTCCCTGCCAAATTTAGCACCACTTCCTCACCCTTATCTAGGTCAGGCAGTCACAGTTATAGATGAATGTAGACTAGGAGGAGCTGCACCAGACTGCTGTCCCAGACGCAGGCAGAAGCACCAGAATCCTTTTTTAGAAATCAAATCTTTCTGGCAAGCCTGACCTTAGGGTAACTTCCGTGGCTTCTTGCCATATGAAGAGGTCTTTTCACCCCCACTTATTTCCGAGGACATGGCAAAAATGTGACTTCAAAGGAGTTCCAGTGCGCCCCAAAAGGACTTGGTCAAAAAAGTGCAAATAAATTTTGCTTTTCTTATTTAGGCAAAAGCAGCTCTTCCCAAAGCCCCTTGCGAGCTTTGAAACTTAAAAAAAACCCTAGCCAAAACAAACGTAGGGTAGGATTTCTTTAGGAAAGGGGCATTTCCCACTCCTGTCACAACCGGGGCCCCCCACCCAAAGTGGGGCGAGATAGGAAATGAGAAACCCAACATGGAAAACATCATGCAAATTAGGAAAAAGAAAAAAAGGCTACAAAGACCAAAAGCTTACTTGTCGGGATTCTGTGCCTGCAAGGAGAGAAAAAGAGGGAAAGAGGAGGGAAAAAAAAGACAGGAAAGGCAGACAGGTTAGAATCAAAGGCGGGGAAAACAATGCCCCCTCCCCCCCCCCATTTCTCTTTTGGGTAAGAGTCAGGTGGCCTTCAATCAGGGAGACTCCACAAGGGAGTCAAAGCAGCAGAATGGCCAGCAAACCAGGTGACGGAAGACCAGCCCCCTTTTTAACATGCAGGTAAAAAGGAACAAGGCTGTGATCATCCAGTCACACCCACCATTTTGATGCCATTCGCACCCCTTCCGTCCTTGGATTCCCCCTACTTCTGTTATCTCTAGCATGACACCCCTCTTAATCAGGAATACTAAGAAGTGAAACCTCGGCCTATTTGGAGGGCACCAAACTGAGAAAGAGTACATGAAATCACGACAGGTGTAACTGCAGATCATCACGCGTTACGACAATGCTGGCTAAGGATATCGTGTGGTGCGATCCCAAGCAAAATCCAGGACAAGAGTTTCCCATCCGAAGAAGAAAATGCTTACTTCCTAAAAACTCTCATCTCCAAATAAGTTAAGAACAATCCTCAATAGTTGCATTTACGTGCAAGTGACAGAAAGTTTACAGAAGCCCTTTGCTGAAAAGAGAACGATCTGATCAGTTGACAGTGAGTCTTCACAACTCCTTTTGTACTACAAATTGTTGCACAGAAAGCTATTCCTTGCTAAGGAAATGAAGTTATACTGAAACAACTAAGTATATACCGCACTGTGAAGTGGTCTATAAGTCTAAGTGCTATTTCTATTGATATTCTCGCTATTCCACCAGTACCATTTATTAGCTTGAATAAAGTAAGTAAGAACCAGCTGAATGCACCAAGTTAGAGGAGCTCACCTAAAGCATCATTATTTTTGGCAACATCTGAACAAAGACTGCCAACAACTTGCATGCAGTTAAGCACTTAGGACTGTCTTCCATACATGAGTAGCTCATCCTGGCAGAAAAAGCAGGTCAGTGTCACTGATTCCAAGCATATTCTTTTCCCCTCTTCTTTTTCTGAAGCTTCTTAATTTTACTGAATTAATCCCCATCCATCCGGCATCCTTTCCACCAGTTTTACCCTTCGGGCTATGGTTTTCTGCATTAACTAAACAGCTTGTTTCTCTAGTCTCGTGATCCTGCTCTGGTCAAAATTTGCAAAGCTAAGACGGAGAAGAGTCTAAAAATTCCACCGAAAGGAAAGTGAGAAATAAAAAAGGCAAAAGCCCAAATGATTTTTTTTTTTTAAATCCCCACTTCTCCCATATGGAGTAAAGATAAAACTACCCGTTTAATGTTGGGGATGTAAATCTTGTATTTTATGTGCATTCCTTTTGTATATTTTTCATTTTAACATTTTTCTTAATAAATTAGAAATCTGAGTTAAAAGAATGGTATTTTTTGTTCTTCATCAGAAAACATCTTGGCATCTCAAGTCTGTTTCTCAGTGTCTTCTCTGAAATGTGCAGATTTAGGCTGCATAGCACTATACTTCAGGTCTGTACCTCTCTGAGCCAGGGAATGTGGCGGGGAGGGAGATTTTCAAAGATATTCAGAAAGTACATTTACTCTATTTTATAAAGGTAGAATATACAACCCATAAGCAGACAATAATGAATGTGTAGATGCAGCTGAACTTGCTATAGTATGCTATCATTAGAATCAAACTATCTGATGAAGAATTATTTAGGATTGGTCAGTAAAAAGAATTACAGGTACAATAGAACATTTTCCCTGGGACATCACATTATATTTCCAACTTCATCTATTGAGTTGTCCAGTTTTAAAAAGTGAGATGTTATTATTAAAATCACAATTTATTGGGCTGCCAGTGTGACATTCTGGACTGAATGAACATAATTAAATTGGGGAATGGTTTTATTCAGGAATTGCAATATCTTTTCCAGCCACAAGAGGTCACTGCAACACCAGAGATTTACACTTTTCAATGGGGGGGGGAATACATTCTTACCCACCAGGTGCCCCTCAGTGGAAAGCCACACATGCACAAGTTTACATGCACAGGTGTATAGAGGAGGGCCAGTGTGCAGAGTTTCACGATCACATTAACTACCCCGCCCACACCCCATCCCAGATGGCCAGAAGCACAGCAACATACCCATTGTGCTGTGTGGTGCAGACGGATGCAGGGGGAACGTAACGCACGGGTTTCGTCACCCACCCGGGCTGAGAGTTTGGAGCAGGGTTAACTCCAAAGGGCCGGGCTGTCTTGTTGAGGGCAGAACTGGGAGTGAAGTTGTATTTGGGGGGCTGAGAAGAAGGGAGTGCGTCCTAGACAAAAGACAAAACAACAATGCCCAAGCTGGCATGGCAGGCAACATGCAAGAGCACCCAATAATCAGGCAGAGCCAGAGGCCACAGTGTCCCAGATGGAAGCCAGGCCATTCAGGGCTCTTCTCTGAGCACCAAGGCAATAAATACAAGCTGGCACAGAGCAGCTGTAACATAAGCCAGTGGTCCATCTCTGTCTCTATCTGTCTACTCCTCTACAGGCACTGCCTTGTTCAGCAATTCCCTCCAGGGGCAGAAAAGGCCCCTCTAAGGCTGCCCAGAGGGTGTGCAAGACAATAAATGGCCTTCCATCCAAACAGCAGAAACAGGAGAGGGGCACATGCTGAAGTTTTGAGCAGCAAAAACAAAAACCATGCGTGTCTCTTTATCTACCCTCATCTCATTTCCCTCTTCTACCAATGGACCTGAAAAAAATGGATCTTCCAGGGCAGCCTCCCCAAGACCTTGGAAAGGACAGGATCTGACCGTTTGCCCCTCTACTGGGTGAAGCAAAGACCCAATCCAGGGATCCACATGGCTCTCCTTGTAGCTTCAAGTTTATATCCCTGGTTTGTCTTTGTGAATTGTACACAGCTACAACACCAGGGTAATGCCCATGTCCAATTTCTGACTTCTGCGACTTTTGAAGTACAATTTAAAAATAAGCTAGCGATGGGCTTAGCAAGCCAGAAATTCAGGAAGGGGAAAAAAGGTACTGCATTCTACAGTTCTTTAAATTGCCTCCCTGTGTCAGAACATTACATTAAAACACTAGATCAATTCTAAGAAAAAAAATATATAAGGAGAGGAGAAATTTAATTTATTTATATACTAGAAGCCCTCAACATACAACCATTCATTTAGTGACTGTTCAAAGTTACAATTGCACTGAAAAAAAAGTGATTTAGAACCAGTTTTCACACTTACAACTGTTGTAACATGAACCATGGTCACGTGATCAGAATTTGGATGCTTGGCAACTGGTGTGTATTTATGGTGCAATTGCATTGTCCTGGAGTCACGTGATCACCGTTTCTAACCTTCTCAGTCGGTTTTTGAAACTCAACATCAATGGGGGAAGCCAGATTTGCTTAATGGCTGAATGATTCACTTAACAACGGCCTTGCTTAGCAATGGAAATGTTGGGCTCAATTGTCTTCATAAGTTGAGGGCTATCTGTATCATATTTAGCAACCTGCTCATAGAACGACTCCGGGCAGTTTACCAAAATCAGAAAAGAAAAGAAAAAAATGAAGCATTTCTACTGATTGCTAAGAAGTTCCAATTGGAATTCTTCAGAAACCCAGCATGGAGGACCATTTAGGCTAAGAAGGATCACTGCATACCTTCGAAGCTCAAGTCCCCTATATCTATTATTCTTTGGGCTATTAAAATAACTATCTGAACAACGACTGTCTGGCTTGGTTGCAAAACAGTCAGTGTGGAATATTTTTCACACTTCTACCCAAACTATATATGGGCATTTATTATCCTGCTTTTGAAACACATTATGCATCTACTACGTATTGCAGTTTTTCTTGTAAAATCTAGGAGAGGCTAGGTGGAGATCACTTCCAACCTTATTTCACAGTTTCCGAAAGAGAAGTGAAGTGAGAGACACACAGAGAGAGAAACAGCTGCGCACGCACCTTCTGAGGTCTGCCTAGGAGATTCTGGACTCTGGAAAGAGAAAAAAACGTTGTTAACAGAGGCACTGGCCTAAGGGTGTTGAATTTAGCTACACTATTTACAATCAAAGCTTTCTGCAAATCAGCCCCTCTGCTGCAAGAGAGCTATGTTGCTGCAACTATCTGTAACCATGGAGAGCTAAAGCAAATTGATCTATGCAATCCAGCTCCTTTCACACCATAAGGCACCTGGAAAGGAAGCTTTGGGAGAAAACAGTCATGAGAATTTAGACACTTCAATGAGTGCATTTGTGTGTGTGTGTGTGTGTTTTCCAGACTGTCTGGAAATTCTTACAGTGAAGAAATAGTATTTCTCCTTTGCATTCTAACCTGCTCTGTTTAAAAAAAATGATTTCATCAGTTCAGATCACTCTCTTGCAAATATCACCTTGGGTACTCCCATACTGCCAAAGCAGTAGCAAAGACTCTACAGTCCTTGTTTAATGACTGACTCAGATAACGACCATTCAGTTACCACAGTGTTGAAAAAGTAACTTTGCAAGCAATCATTATTTATGACCTTCACAGACCTATAAAGCAAAGAAAAACTGAAGTAACACTGTAAGCACATTAGTGGTTTCACTTAGCAACTGCTCTGCTTAACAGTCAAGTAACTGGTCCCCCTTTGCTTAAACAAGGACTGCCTGTACAGGTTAACCTGCTTTTGCAGACCGAAAATAACAGGGGACGTAAGATGAAAGTGAAATAGATCAGGTATATGTGCTTCCCTGTGCTTTTGCTTTCTGACAGAATCCTGTCAGAAAAAGGGGACTACACTGGATAGTGGCAATTGACTAATACACAAGAAACAATTAAACTTGAATAAAACATAAAAAACATTATGCATAACTTTCTAATAGGACATTCTCCACTTCACATTCAGATATTTCCCCAACTACTAACCGCAACCTAGACATACATGCTTTACATTAATCATGCTAGGATCTAGATTCAATTCTTTCATCTATGTTTTTTCATTAATCTCATAACTTCCTTCCTAAAAACCATATTCCAAATGTCCAAATTTGCCCTCCTATGTAACACACAGTCTATATGGAAATCATTACTGCACACATTTGATCAGACTTCCATTATGAATATATATTGTCAATTTTGCCATTGCTGCACATTCTTCAATTATGGCCTCCCCATCTGATATCGTCAGCACAGGCCCCCTTTTCTAATGCTGTGCCAAAATTGTTCTTGCTGCTGTCAGCGCATATCTTAGTAAATTGTAACATTTTTTTTCTGGGATTGTACCCAATAAAAATATTTGTGGTTTCAGTTTAAATTTTATTTTTAGGATTTTCAAAATATTTTGATGTATTGCTTTCCAATATTTTTGAGCTTTTGGCATAGCCACCACATATTATAAAATGTTCCTTCTTTGTTGTGACATTTCCAACATTGTTATATGATTTATCCAACTTGAAAATTATTGACAGAGTCATAAACCATAAACCATCTGTAAAACATTTTATATCAATTGTCCCTTAAATCATAACATGGATTAAATTTTATTGTTTCCCCCCATAATTGCCATTTTTGTATTGCAATTAAGGATTGTTTGAGTTCATGTTATCTTTCTAAAAAGAAAAAGCCCTGTTAAATGACTCTTCCTTTTTCTAGATGACAAAAAACATGGTTCTTATCAAAAACACAAATGTATTATGGCATACCGACAATGCATTTTTTATTAATTCTATATTATCTAGATTTTTATTCAGGGGAAAATCACAGCAACAAGCAAATATTGCACCAATTGGTAAGAGAATTAATAAAGCTGCAACAGAATTAAGACAACAAAATTTTGAGACCAGGTTTATGTTTTAATTCAGAAGATTCTTAAAAGAAATATACAAGTGAAAGCAGTTTTTCTTTTAGAATTATTGGATAAAGATCTTGAAAAAATGGTGCTTCGTTGTTATATATGTTGACTGCAGCTAGAATTTTATATATGCAAAAAATAGAAACATGACAATTTCCGCAATGAAAGGATGGATGGGAAAAGTGATGGAACTGGCAGAGATGGAAAAATTAACTGTCCTAATTAAGGAAAAAAATGTGTCCAATTTTGTGTCTACCGGGAAACCGCTTCTGGATTTTGTGCTCAAAATGGTAAAAGAAAAAAGGTGACTGGGTTTTGATGCTTAGATTAGTTTGTTGTTATAAAATTGGTACTTACTAATTATATAAAAATAAAAAGCTGAGATTGGTTTTAGAATTCATAGCAAATAACAGGGTAATCCTACTAACTACTGTATATTCTGTACCAATTGCAGCCTCCAAGCTAGCCTTATAAGGAAATCCAACAACAAGCACTGTGTTCATCCAAAAATAATTATTTGCCGTGCTTTGGCCAACCCACATTAACTTTGACTATAATGTTTTCATGCTATCTGTTTCACAGGTGTGGAACTGAAATAATAAACAATTAACAAGCAAGGCTGTTTTGACAGGCGTTTTCTCTGCCTCTTAACTTTCAGGAAATACCAACCAGCACCACCTTGCTTGTTTATTGTTTATTATTTCAAATCCACACCTGTTTTCACCTAGGAATCCCTTTTGTGTAGCCAGAAATCAGTTTGGATACTTTGGCTGAAATCCATGTGAAGTCACACTATTGCAAGACAGTCAGTCTAAGCTCTTTTCTGCAGGAGAAGATGCACATCTGGAATCAGAGGCACACTGGTTTTGCAGGAAGCTGATTCTATAGGCTCTACAATATGCTTACCAATTCTGGACACTGAGCTGCCACTTTGTTTAGGCTATTATTGTTATTAATATTAAATTTGTACACTGCTTTATCATTGAGATTCTCAGGGGCTTAAAAGGTAAAATACAACACATGGAGTAACTCAAGCAGCCAGCTAGATCCGTGGTCGCCAACCGGTGGGCCTGGTCCCCCCCAAAAAATCTGGTGGTCCACAGAGAAATGGCACCCCACAAAGCAATTAATCCAGGTTGCGTAGGAACTCAAGGGTTCACCGCCCACATGCCCTTGGGAACACAAGGCTTGCATCGCTTGCATTACTAACAACACAAGGCAGTGAGGAGAGGAGGGAAAGGGCGTTGGAAGGGAACTTGCCCCACTTGCCCCACATGCCTGGCCTAGCCACTGGGCTGCTTCTTTCCACTTCTTTCTTCTTCTCCTTTTGGCCGCACATAAGGAAAACAGCAAAAGTTTTTCTTTCTCTCCCCCAAACACCACCAGAAATGAGTCTTTGGGACCCTGCAAGGCCTCCTGCTCCAAGGGGCCAGCAAAGATTCATTTCTGGTGGCGTTTGGGGGAGAGAAAGAAAGACTTCTGCTGCTTTTCTTGCATGAAGCCAAAAGTCTCTCTCTCTCTCTCTCTCTCCCGCTGAGTATGGAGCTGGAGACAGTAAAGAATGATTGATCGGTAGGAAAACGGGGTGGGGAATTTTCCTACAGACTTTTGGGGGGATTTTCCCAGGGTCTCTGCTACTTCTGCTTTTTCTGCAGAGACCCTGGGAAAAACCTCCAAAAAGTCTGCAGGAAAATCCCCCACCCCGTTTTCCGACCAATTGATCATTCTTTACCATCTCCAGCTCTGTTCACAGAGGGGGAGAGAGAGACTTTTGACTTCATGCAAGGAAAGCAGCAAAAGCAGCAGAAGTCTTTCTTTCTCTGCCCCAAACTCCGCCAGAATGGCACAGCCTCTTGGAGCAGGATGTCTTGCAGGATCCCAAAGACTCATTTCTGGTGGAGTTTGGGGGAGAGAAAGAAAGACTTTTGCTGCTTTCCTTGCATGTAGCCAAAAGCAGAAGCAGCAGAGACCCTGGGAAAATCCCCCCAAAAGTCTGCAGGAAAATCCCCCACCCCATTTTCCTATCGATCGCAGGATACCGTCTTCCCCCCCTCCCCGAGAATGGAGCTGAAAATCAGGTTAGGAATGTGGCTGCCTTGGAGGGGGTAGGTGTGTGGACCTGTGTGTGTGTGTGTGTGTGTGTGTGTGTGTGTGTGTGAGAGAGAGAGAGAGAGAGAGAGAGAGAGAGAGAGAGAGAGAGAGAGGGAATCACTGCCAGCCCTCGGAGGTTAGATCGGATCTCTCTCTCTCTCTCCCACCAACGTCAGCAAGCCACTGTCAGTCAAAATTCATATTATTGGTCCGCGGAATTTAAAATTATGAGTTTGGTGGTCCCTGAGGTCCAAAAGGTTGGCGACTCCTGACCTCTCTCCTATTAATCCTAATGAAGCTTTATTTCAGGAACTGGAGTCCTAGTTTAAAAATCCAGATGCTCTGAGCTAAAACTTTGTGCACTGTTTATTTACTTTGCTTTAAGTTTTTAAACAAGGAAGGTGATGATTGGGAAGCGGGGGCGGGGGGGAATGCAGCTTACATTTCCTATCAGTTTGGTGTGACTCAGGAGCCTTTACCTTCAGGATGTAAAATTCAGGAAGGTGGCTGTTTGTTTTATTAAATACCAAAATGAAAGCTGGCAAGCAGCTGCTATCCTCTGGATGAAACCTCTGGATGAAACCAAGCAACCAAGCAATCATTATTCCAACATCTACATTATATCCCTAAAAGAAAAACCCCAGCATCAGCATAAGAGCTACTTACTTGCTTAAGCTGAGGGAGAGTTTGTCCCCACAGGCACGGATCTTGTTCTGGGCTTCAATGTGGGTCATGGTGCTGGTGCTGTCTCCATCAATGCTGAGCACCCAGTCCCCAACTCCAACTCCTGCCTGGGCTGCCTTGCCCCCGGGGGTGAGCTGCGAGGAAAGAAAAAGTTATTTCCAACATGAAGACATCATTCATGGAACAAAAATTCTTCCGATGCTAATAAGCAATGGAGCTGGATTAGGAGAAATGAGAGCAGACACAACTCTCTTGTTTTTCTCTATGCCCTTATACTTTTTTGCTAAATAGCATGTGAAGTTACATTATTTATTCCCAAAGAAGTTTCTTAAAAAATAACGGTGCTTGGAAGCAGTGTGATATAGCAAGCTAAGGGACACACCTGAATGGTAGCAACCCATACTTTTGCTAAGTCATATTTCTCAGAGTTTTCCCAATCTCAGAGGGACATTTCAAAGTGCTCAAGCAAAATATGCATTTAAGAAGAGTTTGTGTTCACTACAGAAGACCTATTGGCCCTGTCTTCCTGCTCATTAAACTCTAAAGCTACTTCCTTCAAGGTTTATAAGCAAGGTGGATTGATGCTACCGTATCTTTCAGCAAGAAAGCAAACCACTAACAGTCCAAAGATTTGCTCATCATCAAGTTGTGTCTCCAAAACTTTCAAATGTGTTAGTATTGTTTTTATACTGGGAAGACCACACGTGGAATACTATGTTCCGGTCACCACTATATAAAAAAGATGATGAGACTCTAGAAAGAGTACAGAGAAGAGCAACAAAGATGGGGACTGGAGGCTAAGCCATATGATGAATGATTGTGGAAAATGGGACTGTCTAATCCAGAGGTCTCCAAACTACGGCCTGCAGGCTACATCCGGTCCTCCAGAAGGTTCCTTCCGGCCTACCAGCCTCCTCCAATGTGCTCTGCTCTGATCCTTTCCAAACAGCACAGGGAGAGAAAGCAGGGCTATATTCACCACTGTTTGGAAAGAAAGGTAGGATTCCTTCGATTTCTCTGGTGTGTGTGTGTGTGTGTGTGTTTTTTTACATTGAGCAAAATAAAACACATTTATTTAATTACATTTTATTTGCTCATTTGTAAAATTGATTCCCCCCTCCAAACACTTGAACGTTTGCAAAATGCCCAATGTGGCCCTCAGAATGAAAAGCTTGGAGACCCCTGGTCTAGTCTAATGAAGAGAAGGAGTAGGGATGTCATGCTAGCAGTCTTCTAATATTTGAGGGTCTGTCATAGAGAAGAAGGGGTCAACTTATTCTCCAACTTATTCTTCTGCTCACGCAGGGGGTGAGACTAGAAAATCTGCACAGTTCCTTCCAACTCTGTCATTCGGTATTCTGCCAACTTAAATATTACAGTACTGCCAGTGCCAGGCTGAGCTATCTCTACGTATTGTAGCAGATGTGTCCATGTCGGGGAGAAATAAATGTAAGTGGACTAAAAGTATTCTCTGTCATGTTTCCTTTATTATGGAGGAATGGTCTTGCCTAGTATTTTTTTCTTTCACTAAAAAAAAAACAAATAAAACCAAACACACAAACAATACGATCCTTATAGCTAGTCTCATTCTGCCCAGGGCATTGAAATAAAAACAGTTTCAGACATGGAATCGGATAAATCCTTTGATGTCTTTGAGCCTTCAGGCAGCTCAGAAAGCAATCTTTTTTTTCCCATTAAAATCTTCCTCCAAAATATCCTAAGCAGCAAAAGGTGCTAAGATTGCCTTCCTGCCTACAGCTTATTCAAGAGGGTGTTGGTCTATCCTGCCTAAACATAATAAATACAGAATTAATTTCCTTTTCTTTCAGCACTCCATTCTTTGATATTTGAGTATGTTCCGTACTAAATCTTTTTTGGCCAAATGTGCAAATATGCAGTTTCATTTCCAAGAGACTTAGCAAAGGATAACAACATCTTACCATTTTGTTTTCCCCTATTCTTTCTGTTTCTCCCTTTGCCCCTTTCTTTGATCCTTAGGTAAGTATTTTTAACTAGATCTTAAGCTAAATTGTACAGTGGTGAGTCTGTGGCAAGCCTCTACTGCCGGTATGTTACCCTGGAATGCCAAATGGGGCAGTGAAAATCAAGCTGGCTTTGTCCACAAGGAAGGGAGAGCTCTAACTATAGTACTTACTAGCAATCCTAAGAAGAACATGATTCTGGGCCCTAGGCCAGGATGAAAAGAGAAAGGGAGGTTGCAGCATTACATTAATGTGTGTAACTGGCCTACCTCAAGGGGGAGTTGTAGTCATGGTTTCATCACATTAGCTTTTCTAGAATTTTTCAGGGAAGCTTTACAAGATGGTTATCAAGCAGGTTTTTATAAAAACCCAAAAATATAAGTCAATATTGAACAACCAAAGCAGCATAGTGATGGATTAAGAATGAATCTGTACAAGATGAGAGCTAAAAGAGGTAAACAGGGTGAGCCAGGCTGCTACCACTGCAACATCTGTACAGATGTAGAGATTTTGTTAGATGCTAAATGTTTAATTCCTGCGTTATAAGCTGAAACCTGCAGATATGCCTTCAATGATAGTTGGCAACCCTAGCAGGTTCTCCATCACTCCATTGCAGCAGTCAGGTTATCTAGTAGAGCCATTGCAAATAATAAAAAAATAAAAAAAATTGAGCAACCAATGCACAGTGCTTGAGCAATAAAGCACATTCTTTGGAAGGCCTCAAGGCCTGTGGGAGAGTTTAGACTTGCTGATGAATGCAGCATATCCTACAGAACAACCTCAGCAGAGCTGAGCAGGTGCCAGCTACTGATCCAAAGCACACTCCTTAAGGCCTTTAAATTGGAGCATCCTCAGTTGTCAGCCAAGTGGCAGAGATGGTGCACCTGCTGTTATTTGTGACATTCCACTATTAAAGCCAGGTAAGTCAGAAAGCCCTTGCCATCTAGCAACACGCCTCCCCATGAAATATTTGGCTTCATATACCCTTTGCTTCTATTTGCGTCATTCCCAAATTTAGCAGCTGTGTGCTCACATACACAAACGGTCCTTTGAGGACAGCCCAATCAAGACTATCTAAACAAGATGACAAAACTCCTCACCTTCTGAACACTGGAATGTAGGAACCTAATTTCCACAAAGCATACCGATTTTAAAAAAAATACTATTGGTGTATTAAAGATTATTTGAAAACAGAAGGAGAAATTAAAATATTTCTTCAATTTTCAGACTGGGCTGTCCTTGGCTCTCTTCTCTTGGCTCTCTTTCTACCTTAATTAGATGTCTTTACACATTACCTTCTTAGAAATGCAAAGAACAATCGTATTCAGAAAACTACTATCCGGACACCTAAGCCACACTATTGTAAACAATTGAAATGTGGCCTTCACACGATGCTCTGAAGAGCAACTGTGCTTGCAGGATTGGCCCTCTAAACCTCTAACAGAAGAATAAAGTCTCCACTTTCCCTGCAAGACTGGAATCCTCTGTGAAAGTCTGGAAGCCCAAATAAAAGTCGTTCAAAATTAGAGCTGGGTTGGTTGCTGGCTTGTTTGCTTGGTTATTTTTCCTTCCCCGTCAAAACATCTTAAACTAAAAAAAGCAGAAATAAAGCACGGGCACCTGCCTATCGTAATAAGTAAACATTCCTGTGATTACAGAATATCCGTTTAAAAAAGTTGTTCTAAAATTTGAGACAAATTTGGATTGTTTATTTTATTTTTTTGAAAAGGGATCAGGCAAAATTGCATCCCCAAGATAGTTTTAAAATAGGGCTATTTGTAGTCTACAGAGAAGGACTAAAGATGATTGCAGTTGTGCAAGTGATATAATTCTGCAGTTTGACCATCATTTAAATCCAGATTGCAAGTCTGTACTGGGTGCGGTATCTGTGAATCTAGGGAAGCAAAATCTAATTTACCAAAGTTCTTGCTGCACTAAGTATTTCAGATACCATGATGCAATAGGTTTCTACATGGTTAAACAGAAAAAAATGTAGTGCCTTATTGAGAAAGAAAAGGGGGTGAGGAATGGGGAAGATAAGTAGCATTTAATGACTAATGACGAAGACTGCTGGTACGAATGAGAGCTAACCTGAGAACTAACCTTTGAGTAACCTCCATTCTTCCTCACAATAGGGCAATTGTGGATTAGCTACTAAACAGGAACTTTCAGAAAAGTATCAACCTAGGTTCAAATATTTACAGCCTTAAAACATAAAAAACTTTGCAGATCAGGTAATTATTTTAATTTGCTTCAGGGAGCAGAGAGATTGGTAGGGAAATTATTTTTTTTCATTTTGGAAACAGTCATAACCTGGTATTTCTAAAATTTCAAGCCAAGAACGTAAAAGACTATAATTTATATAACTGGAAATCATCTGAGGAGAATCAGATGCAACTACTGGCAAGATATTCAGAAAACCAAGGAAGACACAATTTCTAGTTTCTTTTTATAGTTTAGATTGGATGACATTTCTCTGTATACTCAAAAGCATTTTACTTTTCAGACAACACCAAAGGGGCTGGGAATATATTTTAATTTTGCGACATATAACTAACCTTGTATTTGTTTGATTTATAAGCTCTTTAAATGTGACTCTGGTCTGAAGGACTAATAATAGGTCTTTCTAGGAGTTGTTTTCCATTGTTTTAAAACAAAGTTCTTCATTCAAAGTTCAAAGATACTTAACAGATATCTTTGAAGGGGAAATTCACACTTGGGTTAATCTGGATAACCTGGTTGGCATGCAGATCTAACTGCCTCCTGCTTTATGTTGGCTGACATTCTCTTTTTAAAGATCTCTAAAATAGCTTCAATCTCTCTAGTTAGGTAACAGCCCTCTCCTCAGAGAAGGTTATTTAGAATTGCATTTTTTTCAAGCTTCTATTTTCTATAGAAGTTGAGGGACATCAGATTGTCCTCAACGCTCAATTATGTTTAATAATCCCACCTTTATTATTTCATAAGTAACTCAAGGAGGAAGACATATGTAGAGATGGGAAGGCCTGAAAAAAAACTGAAAAAAACTGAAAAAAGTTTTTTTCTGGGGTTTTTTTTTCACTCCAACTTTTCCATTTTTTCCCATCTCTAGACATATGTAATACTTCTTCCTCTTCCTATTATCCCCACAACAACCCTGAGAAGTTAGAGAG